ACACTTTTCCAGCTAAAATATTCATGAGCTGTTAGGGTTTTTATAGGTGTTGGATAAGGAAATTTACAATACTTTAATCACCTCATTAAACCTTTCATGTACTAAGCAAACTGCACTGCAAATAGTTTGTGAWCACTATATACTAGTTTTTAATGCCSGTYTTCAGGTTTTGATTTCATCAGACTTCACCATCCATTGATCAGGCAATGTAGGTTAATGAAAAATTGGTTTATGAGTATCAATGCACAAACACAGTGTAGATAATAATACTTGTGATCATAATCATAAAATGACCAGCATATAACTTTTATACCAACAACAAAAACTGCAATTATGACCCTTGTGATAATTTAAATATCATTAAATTTGGAATTCAGCTTCACATAGCAACAGTAGCCATGCAAACAACCTATAAAATGCCACCTCACTATTGACTATCATAATTAAAAATTACAGAACAGAATGAAACTGCCTTGAAAATAATATAATAAACAATCAGTTTACGTATAGATATTTTTGAAAGTCTGGCAAAAAAAGGTTCTTGTTTTAAGGGGTAGTTGCTGGTAATTTTGGCAAAGTAGATTTTTAATTAGGTTCTTAATTTCAAATAGGGACATACAGTACAGTTGTTTTGCATATATATCATAAGAATAATATATACAGCATTTTGCACAAATTATGAGACATTTTTATATATATAAATATACCTAACCAAATATCAAAAACACCCCAGAAATTATGGTATATCTCTATTATATTTTGTCATGATTGCCTAGCATCAGGTTGTTACAGACAAAATATCAGCGACGGTATCCCATAATTTCTTGGGTGTTTTTGATATTTGGTTAGGTATATTTATATATATAAAAATGTCTCATAATTTGTGCAAAAGGCTGTATAAGCTCAATATGGGCTAAAATTATATGTAATACTATAATATCATGTATAACTGCAACTTTCAACTACTGTACAAGTAAATAATGAACTCAACCAACTGTAAAGATTAGTTCAGTAATATTCAGCAATCTTCAAATTGAGTATGTTATAGTTTGTTTATCCTGTAACTTAGCTCTAACCCATATTATAAGAACCTGCTAGATAATATTTGGTTAAAGAGGTTCTTATTTAAGGGTGGGAACTAGCGGTAAACTAGTAGTGAGCTGCGTCGGTGTTTCTAAAGAAACAGTTATGTAAAAAGATACAGTTATGTAAAAAGATAAATTTAACACCGTAAAAAAGTATGTGGAATAACTTACTGACGTTTCGGACATTAATCCTTCGTCTTATTTAAGGGGTCAATTTTATTAGAATGGCAAATAATTTCTGCCAAGAGGTTCTTAATCCATTAGGTTCTTATTTTCAGGTGTTTACTGTATATCAATTTAATAGCCATGATGACTTTTAAAATCATAAAATAAGTACTCCAGTAGCTATGGTAACCATTGTGGTGTGCATTTCAAAAGACAGTCTCTTCAAATCCCCCAACTTTGTCTAGAATCATCCTCATAATAAAACCTACAGTAACCATAGCAATACTTGAGATCATTTTATAATACAGAGCTTTTCTTAAATGCAAATTCCATGGATGCTAGTTAACTGCACTATCATAAAAGAATAGCCATCATGATTTTAAATCGCAGTGAAACAGCTGTTGATCTTGCTATACTACTGCTCATCCTTCTGGTTTCCTTTGTAATGGTCATATTGTCATTGGGGACAAGTTACAAGCAATGGAAGAAACCTGTAAATAATTGTTTGTGGTTGTAAAAGAATATTTTTATCATTGCAAGGTTAATGCTCTTCTTGCTTTTATCATAAAAGTGCCATATATTCTTGCAGATATGAGGAAAGAGGAGAAAATGCTCAACTATTGGAATAAGCCTTTGCGACCAAGCTTATCTGGACCAAAACTTTGAYCTCTCAACAAATTCCCTGTTAACATCTGTGTCAATGCCATTTGCCCACAAGAACAARATGCCATCTTTTGTCATGCCATTACAACTATTTACCTCAACATATTTCAAATTCAAACAATTGGAGACAAGCATGTGGAGACATAAATCTGTCAACATAATGCACCCACCCAGTCCTATGTGTGTCAGACAAAGGCATTTRCTAGCTATAAGCTCTACGTCTTGATCCAGTAAGCCCAAAAACTGATTCAGTCTCAACGATTTTAGTTTTGTACAATTCTGGGTTAGACTTGTGATGCACTCCACGTTCATTCTGAAACATCGAGTCAAATCTACCTTCTCTAAGTCAATGCAGTTTTCAAATACTTCAATGAGCGATTTAGGAGAGACCCAAAGACAATCAAAAAGATTCAGCTCTCGTAATTGAGGACAGAAAACTGCAAGTTTTGAAATGACAACGCTTGTCAACACACGACAGCCACACAAATCAAGCCGTTGTAAATTAGGATTTCGTCTTAGAATGGAAACAACAACACTGTCTTCTAGAAAAAACTTTGGATTTCTCAGAATTAATGCTTGAAGAGAACAATTATATTTAGTGAGGCGTTCCAACACATCTGAATTGAAATCGGCTTTAGATGTCACATCGTTGATGTCCATGATAGTATTGYATTGAAAGAACCATTGACAGAGATTTTTGAAAGATTTACAGACTCTTCGACATTTGAATATCTCGTCCATACAAAGCCAGGAAAATATCTTGTCAAATATTATGTCTTCGTGAGGAAGATCAAAAAATGTCCATGAACTGTCCGCCATTTTTGTTTCTGTTTTTTTAAAAAGCCCAGTCTTCTTCCATTCAACATGACACAGGAAGCCCAACTCAACTAAGGGAAAACTTACAGATGCAGTCGAACACTGGTCGTTGAGGCTACAATTTTCCCTTTCTCATAACAAAGATCTTTTCTTTCATACTCTTTATGGTTATAAACCTGAAAAAATATATCGTAAGAAAGGGTTTTAAATTAAAATTTCCTACAGAATCTCTGCAGGGAACCTCTATAAATATAAAAGATGA